ATCTATGAAAAGCCCACAGCAAATATCATTCTCAATGGGGAAATACTGGGAGCCTTTCCCCTAAGATCAGGAACACGGCAGGGATGTCCACTCTCACTACTGCTATTCAACATAGTACTAGAAGTCCTAGCCTCAGCAATCAGGCAACAAAAAGAAATAAAGGCATTCAAATTGGGAAAGAAGAAGTCAGACTCTCCTTCTTCACAGATGACATGATACTGTACCTACAAAACCCAAAAGCCTCCACCCCAAGATTGCTAGAACTCATACAGCAATTCGGCAGTGTGGCAGGATACAAAATCAATGCTCAGAAATCAGTGGCATTTGTCTACACTAACAGTGAGGCTGAAGAAAGAGAAATTAAGGAGTCAATCCCATTTACAATTGCACCCAAAAGCATAAGATACCTAGGAATAAACCTAACCAAAGAGGTAAAGGATCTATACCCTAAAAACTACAGAACACTTCTGAAAGAAATTGAGGAAGACACAAAGAGATGGAAAAATATTCCATGCTCATGGGTTGGAAGAATTAATATTGTGAAAATGTCAATGCTACCCAGGGCAATTTACACGTTTAATGCAATCCCTATCAAAATACCATGGACTTTCTTCAGAGAGTTGGAACAAATAATATTTGTGTGTAATCAGAAAAGACCCTGAATAGCCAGGGGAATATTGAACAAGAAAACCAGAGCTGGGGGCATCACAATGCCGGATTTTAAGTTAGGCATGAATGGAAAATGTATGGGAGAGAGTACTGTTTCTGATTCTTTCTTTTGTGGGGAGTTCTTCTTTCTAGTCATTTTGCTTAGCGCAGAGTGGCTAAAAACGAGTTGTACTTGATAGAAGCACAAACTCTTCTCTCTGTAGAGTTCCAGCTGTTCTCTCTTTAAATATCAGGTCGAATTCCCAGATTTTCAGGATGATTTGAAAGTTATCTAGGTAAGTTGGTGGGGACCGGTGACTTGGGGACCCTACTCCTCCACCATCTTGCCCTGCCCCTTGTTTTTCCATTTCTTTGTATCTTCCTCAATTTCTTTCATAAGTGTTCTACAGTTTTCAGAGTACAGATCCTTTAGCTCTTTGGATTTATTCCTAGGTATCTTATGGTTCTTGGTGCAATTTTTTGATAACAAAAAAGTTATCACAAAGCTGTGATCATCAAGACAATGTGGTACTGGCACAAAAACAGACACATAGATCAATGCAACAGAATAGAGAACCCAGAAATGGGCCCTCAACATTATGGTCAACTAATATTCGACAAAGCAGGAAAGACTATCCACTGGAAAAAGGACAGTCTCTTCAATAAATGGTGCTGGGAAAATTGGACATCCACATGCAGAAGAATGAAACTAGACCACTCTCTTGCACCATACACAAAGTTACACTCAAAATGGATGAAAGATCTAAATGTGAGACAAGAATTCATCAAAATCCTAGAGGAGAACACAGGCAACACCCTTTCTGAACTTGGCCACAGCAACTTCTTGCAAGATACATCTATGAAGGCAAGGGAAATAAAAGCAAAAATGAATTATTGGGACTTCATCAAGATAAAAAGCTTCTGCACAGCAAAAGAAACAGTCCACAAAACTAAAAGACAACCTACAGAATGGGAGAAGACATTTGCAAGTGACGTATCAGATAAAGGGTTAGTATCCAAGATCTATAAAGAACTTATTAAACTCAACAGCAAAGAAGCAAACAATCCAATCATGAGATGGGCAAAAGACATGAAGAGAAATCTCACAGAGGAAGACAGACATGGCCAACACGCACATGAGAAAATGCTCCGCATCCCTTGCCCTCAGGGAAATACAAATCAAAACCACAATGAGATACCACCTCACACCAGTGAGAATGGTGAAAATTAACAAGACAGGAAACCACAAATGTTGGAGAGGATGTGGAGAAAGGGGAACCCTCTTGTACTGTTGGTGGGAATGTGAACTGGTGCAGCCACTCTGGAAAACTTTGTGGAGGTTCCCCAAAGAGTTAAAAATAGACCTGCCCTACGACTCAGCAATTGCACTGTTGGGGATTTACCCCAAAGATACAGATGTAGTGAAACGGCAGGACACCTGCGCCTCAATGTTTATAGCAGCGATGTCTACAATAGCCAAACTGTGGAAGGAGCCTCGGTGTCCATCGAAAGATGAATGGATAAAGAAGATGTGGTCTATGTACACAATGGAATATTACTCCGCCATTAGAAATGACAAATACCCACCGTTTGCTTCAACATGGATGGAACTGGAGGGTATTATTCTGAGTGAAGTAAGTCAGATTGGAGAAAGACAAACATTATATGGTCTCATTCATTTGGGGAATATAAAAAATAGTGAAAGGGATTAAAGGGGAAAGGAGAGAAAATGAGTGGGAAATATCAGAGAGGGTAACAGACCATGAGAGACTCCTAACTCTGGGAAATGAACAAGGGGTAGTGGAAAGGCAGGTGGGCGGAGGGTTGGGGTGACTGGTGATGGGCACTGAGGGGGGCACTTTACGGGATGAGCACTGTGTGATATGCTGTATTTTGGCAAATTGAACTCCAATAAAAAATATACAAAAAAAGAAAGGAAAAACATTCCATGCTCATGGATTGGAAGAATAAATATTGTTAAAATGTCTATGTTACCCAGAGCAATCTACACATTCAATGTGATCCCTATCAAAATATTGTCGATTTTTTTTCTCAGAACTGGACAAATAATCCTAAAATTTGTATGAAACCAGAAAAGACCCCAAATAGCTAGAGGAACATTAAAAAAGAAAACCAAAGCTATTGGCATCAGAATTCTGGACTTCAAGCTATATTGCAAAGCTGTATAATCATCAAGACAGTGTGGTACTGGCACAAAAACAGACACATAGATCAGTGGAACCGAATAAAGAACCCAGAAATAGACCCTCAATTCTATGGTCAACTAATCTTTGACAAAGCAGGAAAGAATATTCAATAGACAAAAGACAATCTTCAACGAATGGTGTTGGGAAAATTGGACAGCCACATGCAGAAGAATGGAACCAGACTACTGTCTTACAACCATACAGAAAAATAAGTTCACTCTTACTTCACAAAGTAAAGATGTGTGTGGTGCTACTACCTAAAATGGCATCTCTTTGATTTTTCTCTCTTGGAATCTTGTTTCTGTTTTAAATATAGGTACAGGGCAGCCCAGGTGGCTCAGTGGTTTAGTGCCACATTCAGCCCAGGGCCTGATCTTGGAGACCCGGGATTGAGTCCCACGTTGGTCTCCCTACATGGAGCCTGCTTCTCCCTCTGCCTGTGTCTCTGAGCCTCTCTCTCTCTCTCTCTCTCTCTCATTAAAAATAAATAAAATCTTTAAAAAAAATAAACAGGGACGCCTGGGTGGCTCGGCAGTTGAGCGTCTGCCTTCAGCCCAGGGCGTGATCCTGGAGACCCAGGATCGAGTCCCACATCGGGCTCCCTGCATGGAGCCTGCTTCTCCTTCTGCCTATGTCTCTGCCTCTCTCTCTCTGTCCCTCATGAATAAATAAATAAAATCTTTAAAAATAAAAAAAAATAAAAAAATAAACATAGGTACACCCTAATTAAGAATAGATTGTGTTCCTAAGCAATGATTTGGTATTTGGATTTTGGACCACATTTCCCTTTAAAAGAATTTGGTTAAATGGTAGTTTTCATTCTAGGTTATGCTAAGCAAAGAAATTTACTTAACTTCTAATATAGCTAATAGTAACTTTTGGCATTTTTTTAAAAAGGGAAAGCATATCTGAAGGAAAACAGAAACTGATAATTAAGAGCTCCCAAAGGGGAACATAGGCTCAGCCCCTTTTCCTCAGCAGACCACCTGAGGTCACCTTCTGCTGGACTCCTTCTCTTTGATTCACAGTCTCTTTTTTTTTTTCTCCATGCCATTTTTCTTGCAGACATTATGCGATTTCTCTTTTGGCCATTAGTTCATGTTAATTTGGCTTCAGTTGAAACTAGTACTTAGGTGGTAGAGCAGAAACCCCTAAGGTCAAACCCCTTGTAGTTAAAACCCCTCAAGGGCTCTTTCTGGGACTGGCTAGTCCTGTTTAACAGTTTTACCCCCCCCCCCCCCAGCCTCTTGGTTTTGACTATTGCCACCTCCTCTGCTGCCTATTTCCTTTACCTCTTACCAGGCTTGGGTAGAGCTGTGTAGGATAAGCTTTGTCTTCTAGCTTACTCTCAGCACTCACCTGAACAGCACAAGCTAAGTCTTTACTGGAGAGTAGTTCCAGGGAATAGCAGTCAGTGACAAATCATCACCATGATGATTTGTGATGTCACAAAGTTATAAAAAAAGAAAGTTATAAAAAAGAAATTCCTCCAAATTCAAAGTAGTAGGGGACTTGGTCTTCATTAAATATGAATGGAACTAGGTCTACTTTTTAAAGACATGGCTCTTCTCAGGCTTGTCTGCTAGGGAGCAGAGCAAGCTACCAGTCTTCAATTGAAAGTGGATTTGTGGAAGTATGTTGTCTTGACCTGGTAAAACCCTCGTTACTCAAATGCCGCTATCTCAGAAAAATCTGGCCATATTTTATTTTACATATTTATCTTATTTATTGTCTGTCCTTCCCCCTAGAATGTTAGCTGCCTGACAGCAGAGGCCTTGGCTGGCTTGTTCACCATGTTAGTTTTCAGGCTTGGAATAGTTACTGGTTCATCATGGCACTCAAGAAATACTTGCTGAATGAATGAACCTACTTTCCAGTCTTTTCTTAGTGCCTCTGTCCCATTTGCTTTGAAAATCTTGTTCTTTTTGCTTCATATTGGTATCATTTTGCTTTTTAGATTTCTATGGTGATTGCCAAATATTTTTGTGTTTTGAGTTTCAAACAGCTGGCATTTTCTGCTTCTTAGGAAGACCAGAGGAGCATTCTCACAAAGGTGTAATTTCAAAAGAGATCATGTTCTAAATCCAACTGCCTATTATTTATCAGTGTAATTTTTTCATAAAATATTTTCTTTCTATATTATAGTGAAAAAAAGAGACTGGACCTGGAAAGGAAACTTTATGAATATAACCAATCTGATATATGCAGGTAAGATGTGACAGTAGTAACAGTTTTTGAACCAGTTGGTGTATGTTAATCAATAAAAATACAATCCTAATGTATGTTACAGATACCATAATTGCAGTACTTTTACTGTTCTCTCAGGTCTAATGTGTACTTATTTCCAGTAAACACTGAAAATTAATATAATCACTGTCAAATGTAGGAATAAATTTTCTCAAAATTTCTGTAAAGATAAAAATTATTTTCACTATTTGGTATCTTGTGGTATTTCAGGAATCTATTTGGCTTACATGGCTGAGAGTAAGATGTATTATAGTCTTTCTTATCTTTTTGATCACAATTTAAACACATCAAGCCTATGTAATGATTAAGGCATAATAACTGTGGCTGACCTTTTAACCAGTTGTTGAAGGCAGGGTTATGTGATGTCTCATTTGTTCATGGCTGTTTGACAATGCCTGTGAAAGTTATTATGAGCAATGGACAAAATCCATGTATCCTTTCTGGGTTATTCTAATATGAAGAGCCAACTTTTAATATTTTTAATTCTGTTTTATGGAAATTGAACTTTACCCTTAAGCCAAATATGTGGTGTTACCTCCAGTGTTATTCATATGAAAAATTTCTGGCTATGATAGCATTAATTTTTTTATTTAGCCACATTATGAGTGAGAAATGAAAACATCTCATCCAGAAGAAAGAGAAAACTTTAAAAGCAAATCACCTATCAGGTCCATTTGGTTTTCTCATTTGCAAAATTAATTTTTGGTTTTAGGTCTCAGTGTACTTTCAAGGATACCAGTCATGGTGGACAGTGATATGTCCCCAGTAGTTCTAGAAGAAACAAAAAAGCAGTGAGATGGTGCAAGGAATAGTAGTATTGTGGACACCATCACCTCAGAAGTGGGCCCAGGTCTGAGAGCGTCCATGGCAGCTGCCATTTTTCTAGCTTGCTGCCAAGAGGGAAGCCAGTGGGGTCGAGATTTTTTCTGCAGCCTGTTCCTGGCTTCCTGGGGACCTTTACCAAGTTGTCAGTTTGCTGAGTTTGTTCCCCTTTCTTACTTAGCCTCTTGTTTCCTGGAAGATGAAAGGAATGATTTGCTAAAAGTATACTTTCTTTGATTGCCTGACAGGATAAAATCCAAACTGGCTAATGTGGCTATTTCAATATGGGGTCCCCCCCCCAGAAGGCATTGCCTGAGACAAGGGTTTGTATGTAGATGGTAGTTTATTTTAGGAAGTGGTCACATAAAACTGATGAGCAAGGCTGGGAAGAATGAAGTAGGAGCTGGTCACTGCTCTGGGCATCTGGTGCTCTATCCTTCCAGACCTTCAGCGGAGCCACATAGACTGCTTCTCTGCTCCTCACAAGTGTTCACTTAAGGGAGGAAGGGAACCGTTTATCTACTGGCAACCCCACATTGGGCAGGAACACCCTAAGAGCTGTTAACTCCTTCTCACATCCATGCTGTGAACTCAGAGGAGCAACCCTGCAAAAGCAAGATACTAGGTGCATCTGAGACAGGTGCTACCAGGTGGCTGCAGCCATAGCTAGCAGAGGAAGAGCTGGGCCAAGAACGTGTGAGGAGGGCCTGCAGATATCTGGCACAACAGTGCACCAGACCCTCCATTATCTGCCCCTAGGTTTATCTTCATCACTCTCTCACCAGCCTCCCCTAACATGTTACACAGAATCTTCAGTGTCAGGATGACACTGAAGCATGACAGGACTTTTTAGTATCATGTAAGCAGGGGGGCTGTGTTGCCAGGTGCCTCTGTTCAGTCTGAGCCCCACCAGCTCAGACTGGGGACAATTACTTCAGCACTCTGTACTGTTTCTTCATCTGCCACATGGGGGTAATGGTAGTTATGAGAACTTAACAGAGCCTTGAAGTAGTATCTGACCCAGTGTAAGAGGCAATAATTTATTATTACTGTTTTCGCCAATATTAGTATAGTTATTTTCTTAATTATTGCCTTTGAACTTACCACCATGCTATTTCCCCTGCTTGAGCATTTCCCCTCATCTTCTCTCCCTGGCTTTCCCCAGTTTTGTGTTACCTCTGTGCATCCATCATGTCTAAGTTAAAAATCCATTTCCACTGGGAAGGCTGTCTTAATCCCCTCAATTAGGTCAGGTTACCCAGTCTGTAAGTAAGAGTCCTGGCAGTTTTCTTCTTAGCATTCATGACACTGTATTAGACTTATCTAATTTTTTTGTTTTCCCTGTTGACTAGCTGAGTGGCTTTCCTATTTACAGTGCTGAATATACAAATGGCTGTATGGATGGGTGGGTGGACTTCTGTGGTCAGCTCTGAATGCTAATGTGGGAGCAGGAATGAAACTAGACTTTGGGTGGAAAAGACATGGTTACTGTTGTACACGTTCCAGTTGGACACTGGCCACCACCACAGCTTCACAAAGTGCCTGCCTGTGTAGGACAATGCTTTAGGTTCCACCTCCATTACTGTCATTTGCGTCAAAAGTGGCAGACATGGACAGTAGTAAAACTAATCTTAAGTGTTTTGTTTAGAAGGAAAAATGGGGACAGCCAACTAAAGTCAGCATAGACTTATTAGCATGATAAAGAATTTCTTGAAAATATTTGACCTAGACAGAGGTTTAAGGTCTGTTGCTGATTAGTTTTTAAGTTCTCCAGCATCTTTGCCAATCTGGTCTTGAGGATGAACATTTTTGTGATTTTTCAACTTAGTTTTGCTTGACAGAACAATGTTGAAAAATTGTGAGCACTGAGTAATACACAGAATTGTTGAGTCACTATGTTAAGCACTTGAAACTAATATAATACTCTAAGTTAACTAGAACTGGAATTAAAATTAGAAACTTAATTAAAAAAGACTGTTGAATTATTTTATTGAACTAACAATATAAATGCTTCATACCAGGTACTCTTATCATGTAAAACTTGTGAAGAAAGAGCTAGAATGGTTCTGTGGGAAGAGTGGGCTGCACAACTTGAGCCGTTCAGTGTGCCTCTGTTCTGTACCTTGGATGAGTCTCTAAAGGTTTTTTCACAATTTGAGTAGAATTACAGAGCATATGATAATTTTATTATCATAAAATATTTTAAAAATATAGCATAATGCTATAGTTCCTCATTATAAATTTTAATATTATCTAAATGAGAGCCTTTGGGGTATTTTAAATTTTGGAATTTCTTCGGAATTTATGGATTGTGGTTTATAGTTTGATTCTATTTCCATAAAGCAGGTAGTTTTGAAATTGTCTGTCATAAAAAGAATGCTAATGGGCTATTCATCCGACCATGGCCACATAGACACAGCTCTTGAAATCACATTTAATTTTGAGAAAGAAATCCATATCAATCTTTATTGTGTGAATGTTATAATGTAATCTTATATATATTTCTCAGGAGAGTTACGTCTGGATGTGCTACTCAGTGATGATGCATTAATTTCTTCTCTCTAAAAATGCATGTGCATTCTGCTCTTAGCTTTCAGTATTTGGGTAAAATATCTCCAAATACATTGTCTCGTTAACAATTTTGTTAAAGAAAAGTCTCCTCCTTTGATTTGTCAGAGTCTAACTGCATTATTTAAAAATCTGCTTTTTATTTTTCTAGAGTTAAGCTGAAGTATGTTAAATTAAAGAAATACCTGAAGGAAATACGTGAATCAGAAAAGAAGGCTCATACTCGAAACCAAGACTATTTAAAACGGTTTGAACATGTCCAAGCTCATGTTGGACACTTTACCACAAATACAGAGAAGCTTCAAGAACTGAAGGTAGCTTCTTGTTTTGTACTATATTTCTCTCTCTCTCGCTCTCTCTCTCTCTCTGGTCTCTTTTGCTAAAATTAGAAGGAGGTAATAGCAGTATGTATCAGATCAGTGGTGGTCAGTAATGTTCAGTTGTTCGTCCATAAGATTAACTGCCCATTTTCTCTGTGGATTACCGTGAGGCTAGGTTTTGATCGTGGAACTTGAAATTGCATTTTTTCAATTTCTATTTTAGTTGAAGAATTAATGAAATATCTTTACTTTGTTATACTACACAACTTGTACAGGCAAGAGCACTACCCACTACCAGGCTCAGCACCTAGCATATGGTATTTGTTGGCCTCAAAATTGAATTTGAGCAACATTAGGGATCCCTCTAGAGTCTACCTCCTTCTTTATTATTATTTTTTAATTTATATTTTTTTCATTTATCAAGTTAACTTTGTAAAAAAATTTTATTTAAGTTCTAGTTAGTTAACATATGGTATAATAGGGCACCCCGGATGGCTCAGTGGTTTGGTGCCGACTTCAGCCCAGGGTGTGATCCTGGAGACCTGGGATCGAGTCCCATGTCAGGTTCCCTGTATGGAGCCTGCTTCTCCCTCTGCCTGTCTCTGCCCCCCCCTCTCTCTCTCTCTTTCTCTCTCTCTCTCTCTCTGTGTGTGTCTCTCATGAATAAATAAATAAAATCTAAAAAAAAAAAACCCATACAATATAATATTGGTTTCAGGAGTGGAATTCAGTTATTCACCACTTACATACAACACCTAGTGCTCATGATAACATGTGCCCTCCTTAATACCCATCACCCATCCAATTTATCCTCCACCCACTTTCCTCCATCAACCCTCAGTTCTTCATCCTTAAGAATCTCTTATGGTTTGTTTCCCTCTCTCTCTCCCTCCACCCCCCCCATATGTCCACCTATTTTGTTTGTTAAATTCCACATATGAGTGAAATTATATGGTATTTGTCTTTCTCTGACTTATTTCGCTTAGCATAATACATTCCAGCTCCATCCATGTCATTGCAAAAGGCAAGATTTCATTCTTTCTGGGGATTTCTTCCTTCTTTAATGGATTCTTTTTCTGGGGTCTGGGCTCCTCTGTCCTGGTTAGACAGTGTGTTGGGGAGAGACCAAGGGTAGAACTGGCTCCATAGAGTTCGCCTTTATGCTCCTCAACTGTGTGAACCAGAGCAGCTGCTCTCTGTGGCCCTCTCTGATTCTTGGATCCCATTCTGTAAGGTGCTGGGCAACCTACAGCTCCACAAATGATGCCAGGTGTGGAGGGCTAGGCCTTTTTGTCACCATTTGTGCTGGCCAAGAGTTGTTGCTCAAGTTAACCCAACTGAATACTGGTTACAGAAGAAGTTGGCTTCAGTACTTCCCTTTCTCTTTTTTTTCTCTGGGAGTTTCCCACACTGAACCTTTATTTCAAAAACACAGAAAAAGGAAAATAATTATAATCAACATTCATGCAATGGTCTGAATGTTTGTGTCCTCCTGAAATTCGTATCTTGAAATCTTAACCCCCAAATGTGATGGTATTCATAGCTGGGGCCTTCGAGACATGCTTATGTCATGAGGTTGGAGAGCTCATGGATCAAATAGGATGCCTTCTAAAAAAAGCTCCAGAGACCTTCCTAGCCCCTTCTACAGTGTGGGGATGCAGTGGTGGTGGCTCTGAATGAGGAAGAGAGCCCTCACCAGAAGGTGACCACACTGGTGCCTTGATTTTGGACTTTCCAGCCTCCAAAACTGTGAATGATACATTTCTGATGTTTATAAGCCACCCAGCCAGTGGTGTTTTGTTATAGCAGCCTGAATGGACTAAGACAACTCACATACCTACCAAGATGCAGTAGGTATAAATATTTTACTATATTTGCTTTGCGTGTGTGTGTGTGTGTACGTACATTTTTTTCGTGAGCCGCTGAAAGTATGCTGTAGATACCATAACATTTCTTCCCTAAATACTTGAGTGTGGATCTCCTAAGAACAAGGAAAGTCTCCTACATAATCATACTACCATTATTACAGCTACCAAAATTAATAATATCATTTAATATCCACCGATATTTAATTTCCCCAATTCCCTCCAAAATTCTTTTTATTTTTCCAGACCAGGAGCCAGCTAGGATTTGCACATCACTTTTGGTTATTGTGTCTTTTTTTGTCTTTAAATCTAAGTTAGTCTCCTACCACCCTTCCTTTTTTTTTTTTTTTTCATGACACTGACTTTTGAAGAAGGTAGTCTAGTTGCCTATAGAATGATCCGAATTTGACTGGTATTATTTAACTGAAAATTTGGATTAGACCAGCACTGCCCAATGGAACTTTCTGTAGTGATAGAAATGTTCTCTATCTATACTATTGCTGTCTAATAAGGTAGCCACTAGCTACACATGGCTACTGAGCCCTTAAAATGTGGCTTGTGACACCAAGGACTGAGTTTTTAATTTTGTTAATTTTAATTAGTTAAATTTAAAAAGTCATAGCTGAGGTTACTGTTGCATCCCATCAGGAAGCCTCATGAGTCATGCATGATGTCAGGTGGTCTGACCGGAGTGAGGTTGAGTTTGATGCATTGGTTAATATGACAATCTCTAGATCTCTCTATTATATGGTACTTTTATTCCCTTTGCAACTGAGCAAATAATCTATGGAATGATAGTTTGACATCTTAGCAATATCTTGTTCCTCAACAGCTTTTTACCTAGTGGCTTTAGGATCCATCAGTGATGCCTGAATTAGTTATATTGGAGGTTATGAAATGGTGATTTTTCTAATTTGATCTTCTACTTTATTAGCTGACATTCTTCTATAAAGAAGAGCTTTCTTTCCTTCTTTTCTCTCTTTTTTTAGGTATCACCAGGTACTTGTGAATGTTTAGTTAGTGTGTTCTTAGTCACTGTAATTATTCTTTTTGTTCATATTTTCCCAAATTTTGCCTGGGAAATTTCCCAAATTTCTCAGTTTCTCTTGAAATTGGCTTCTGTGTCCTTTTGACCCAACCCCATTAATTCCAAGCTTTCTTTGCTTTGGAGCACAAGGTATTCCAGGTTTGCTGGATGTGTCTCTGCCTCAGACATGGAATTAGCCTCTTTCCCAAGGAGCTGTGGCTCCTTTTAGTGGAGAAGGGTATTTAGAAACCAACATCTGGCGGTTAGGTGTGCTCAAGCAATAGCAAGTTTTAGCTGCAGCACTCTGGGTTTTCTTCTCTTAGTAATCAAGCAAAATGCTTACCATTCAAAACCCAATTGTTGGTATCAGCAATGTAAATCTCTTTGCTGTTCAGAGATTTCACAGAGAAAATAAAAGTGGTGGACAAAGCAGGGAATGTTGCCTTCTTGATAGAAAAAAGAAAATAATAGAAATTTTCCTTTTATTTTCATATTGATGCTTTACTCAATTATTGATTTCACAATATAGCCAAATGTGAGATGGAGGAATTTGAAAGGGAGAATCCTCTTTTGTAAATATTTTTATATTGAGAGCAGTTGAATTTTCAGTAAGGAATGCCTTTTGAAAACAATCTGTGATGGTTTAGAAGAGCAGACTATGTAGCTACAGTTGGGAAAGCTGTGAGTTCCATGGAGAACTGTATATTGGGAATCACCCTAAGTCCAAGTTGAATGCTTGAAATGTGCTTGTGAAATCAGACAGTGATATTTGAAACTCTAACCAGTGATACCACTTATCTCAGCAAATTGTGAAGTAAGAGTTTCAGAGAAGGAAATGTTTGTCCCTATTCTTTTCCCATTCCTTTCATCCTGGTGTCCAGTGGTGGTCTTAGGAAGACTCAAACAACCTGTCTCCTCTTAATCCTGCCCCACTCAGGTCTCAGATCTTCACTTCCTTTACTGGCCGACCACACATAAGCCTTAGGAGAAAGATGTTCTGATGGAGCATATTGTCCACATACTCCAAAATGCCAGGGATATTTCCCCTTGAATAGAGTTCCAGAAAGTGAAATAGTGAAGCAGGGTGCAAGAAGTGGGAATTTGGCCCAAATTAAATTAAGTGCATTTCTCCCTCTTTGTAGGACAATGCCCTTTTTATTATATAATATTAAAATCTTTTTAAATGGGATAAAGGCTTTTAAAAAAAAACCCTTTCAACTGATTTTATTAATTATACTACTTAATTTGGGGGCCTGTGATCATTTTCAGGGCTTTTAGAGGCTATTGATCTGTCATGTAGGTTTGAAAATATGGTGTTGAGGCTGTGTTGCTACTTGTCAGATAAAGAGGCTGACTATACTCAGTTTAATAATGTAAATATTACTAGTATTGTGAAGATCATGTTCTTCTCTCTTTCTCTCTCTGCCCCCATTCAACCCTTGCTCCCTGCATTAGTGCTTTTGTAGAAGATCCCCAGTTGGTCCTTAGAGCAGTTTTCTTTGGGTGCCCTTTGCCCTTATTTCAGTTTGGGTTCTCCTGAAGTGGACCCTGACACAAGGGTTCAAATGGAAGTAGTTTATTTGGGAAGTGCAGGGAGGGTCAGTAGGTTAGAGGGTAGATGAGACAGGGAGGTACAGGTGGCTGGAACAAGGTGTATCACTAAACTAACTATCATAGTCAGCATCTGGAACTTAATCCTACACAGAAACCCTGGCAAGTGGTTCCGAACATTTGGAATATGCATACATGGCTCCTGAGCATCACTGATTGAGGACTGATGGAGAAGAGAAGTAGGTGAAGGGAAATTAACCGTGAGCTCCTTAGGCACAGAGACAGGGATGCTGGGACTTAGGAGCATCCAAAGGGGTCCCAGGCACATGTGTGGAGCATGGCCAGCATCTGTTTCAGCCTCCCACATTCAAGTGCCAGGCATGACATTGGCATGCCAGGGCATTCAGGGGGTCCCTAGTTGAGGAGAGTCATCATCTGGTTATGTCTCTCATCTGCCTGAAATCCTTGAGTGCTTGCTCAGCCTTTTAGGATAAAGCCCAGATGCTGCTCTCAGCCTGCACACCACCCTGCAGCTCAGCTTTAGGACCCCTAGCACACATTCTCTCTCGCTGTCTGTCTCACACAAATACACAGACATGTGCACATTTTCTCTTCCCCATGTGCCCCCCCACCTCCTTCTTCTGTCCCCATCTCTGCCTCCTATCTCTGCTCGCTCTCTCTTCCTACCCCTAGCTCTCCCCACCCCTGCCCCCTCATACCCCCAGAACTCATGCAATCTTCCCTCCACCCCCATGTCTTCCCACCATCCATCTCCATTTTTATTTCCCACACGTGCACATTTTCTCTCCTTTACACACTCATGTACTCACATGCACCCACTGAATTTTAAACATGCTGAACACTGTACTTGAAAGCACCACATTATTTCCCATCTTCTTCAAGTAGAAGGCCTCTCTCCCTCTGTCCTGCCTTAGGTCTGTGCCATAGTTATCTCAGTAAGCACTTCCTCCATGGTATTGTCATTGTTTATGTGTTTGCCCACCTCACTGTGGGTTCCTCATCTTATTATTTCAATGCTGTCAATGTCTGACCCAGAATGTAGCACATAATAAGCACTCAGTAAGCTTTGAGACTCCCCCCTTGACTGAAAATTAATTCTTCCATCTTTTTCATCTTTGACCATCATCTCATGGACCATGAACAACTATGTGAGAGCTAATGTTGTCACATTGGTTCTATCCTGTGTTATACCTTCCCAGGAGCATTTCTGTTTAATAACAGAGGCACTTTATAAAGATATAATGTTATTATTTAAAGATGCAATTCTTGTTAAAAATTCAGTTCTTAGATGATATGTGCCTACTGGGGATAAAATTTGAAGAGAACAAATCTTTGAGCTCTCATTTGATTCCTACTGAGCATTGTGACAGGGCATGACCTTTAGGCTTCTGGAAGACAGTCTGTAGCTTATCCTATTTTTTATGAACCAGAATGTATTACTTGTTAATATGCATTAGTTGAATATAAGTAAGTATTCCTCTATACCTTTTTGTAGAAACTCAGAATTTAAGAGGAAACCCAGATACTGGAAAAAAGATAGAAGAGAAAACAAAAGATTGTGAACTGTAGTTCTCAGGGTCAAATCAGACAGTTTATGTAACTCTTTATACCCAAAGAGTTGGGTACATGAGGAGGCTGGGCCAGTTGATTTTAAATGTCTGTTCAGTTCTGTAACCGAGAATGTTTACATAATCCTAAGGACCACTGAAAAAAAGGAAGCCTGTTTAAATAGAAGGTAGTGGTGGCATCTTCAGGCAAAGTGATAATGTGATACGGGTAAATTGAAGGAATGTAAGTGGGGGTATGGAAGAAAAGAAGGAAAGAATGGAAAATGAAATGTGTCATGTGCATAGAGAGAAATCCCAGGGACCTGAAAGACCTGGCAGGACCTCCATCTCCTTTTCCCATGACCCCAAATCATCATTAACAGATTTCATCAGTTGAGATAAGATAAAATGGTTTGCACACAGTAAGGAAATGAATAGAAAGGTCCCTCTACATGTAGGTGGGCAGCATCCAGTCCAGTGCTGTGAAGCAAAATGGTAACTGACGGAACAAGTTACCTGATGGGTTGATTCCATGTTCTTAGGTTTATTAAAACAGATTTCCCTAGGGGAGTTGGGAGAAGAGGGAACTGTCCTTAGAGAGGCTATGGACTGGCAGGCGCTGACAGGACATGAGAACTTTGCCCCCCTAAAGTAGCAAATCTGACAGATATCTAGGCCACATGGCAAGAAGAGAGCAGGACCCTGTCATCACCAGACAGAACGATGCAGTATAAGCCCTCATGTATTGTGGAGGTATAATGGGACCTGATCAGAAAAGAAATGGGGAATAAAACATGAAAGACTGATGGGAAAAGCAGATGTGTGCTCTGCTATTTCATCAGACATTGTTAACTGTGGAAGTTTTGGTAAGACTCATCTATACAGTTTTCCAAAAACTTTTAAACCTAGTACAACCCTTTGTTTATATGCAGATAGAACAGGAGATGGGGGCTGGAAATCCCTGCTCTCCAGTGTTCAGAAGGTGGATTTGATAGATAGTAACCAAGTGTCCTATGTATAAATAAAAGTTAAAGAGCAAGGCATTTGTAGGTGGAAATTCGTGGTCCTAGAGGATACAAAGTTATAGTTTGTATCAATTATTAATTTATCATAGCAACTTTGGATTTCAAATACATTGTTCAGTTTTTATTTGCATCACTAATTTAGAAAAGTACCTACAATTCAGTAAATTATTTGGATGCATTGAGAACAATCTAAATTGGACTCATGAAGAGATGTTCCTTACTGTTCTTTATAAAGCCGTAATGCAGTTATCAGTTTTTGCTACAGCAAAATGAATTAAACAAAACTCACATATTACATGAGAAAGTACTCTGTCTTTGGAAGATATGGCTCTGAAATGATCCCATAATGAGGAAATCAGGTACAACATGCCTGTTGCATGTTCATAACTGATCTCAAAGAATATGTGAAAATATTTGTAGCCACAGGAATGGAGGATTTTTGTATAACCTATAATTATTTAATAAAGCTCAGTGTTTTTATTTTATAATTCACTCCCATTTTTAAGGATGCTTTCCCTTAGAATCTATAAAGTATGCCTTTTGAAAGCTCTTGAGGTTAAAAAGTAAATGTCTCTGAGTCCAAAGAAGTAGATATAGAACAGAAAGATATAAATTGTATTAACTTAATTGCCCTATTTCCTTATCTTTTCTTAGTTTATTGTGTATACTAGCCTTATAAAATTATTGCTTAATCAGGAATCTCTTTAGATCATTACTGTCATCTATCATGTTAATAGCATTTTGATAGAGAAAAAATTCCCTGCTTAACTGTTAATAAAAATGGAGCAACTATAATATCCTTTAAAATATTTTGAGGGAAATAAGTCAATTCTCATTAGGACTGACTGTTTTTTTTTTTTTTTTTGTATCTCAAATCTCAGGCCAATTACATGTTCAGACTGAGAACTAAGGAAACGGTTTTCTAATTTGGTTATCTCATAGGTGTCTTTCTAATTGCAGTGCATCACAACCTAACTTAGAAAATGTTGTAATACTTATCTGTGATGGACCACCATCGCTGAATTTCTTAAGGCTTTAATTAATAACACTGAATCAAAGCACTTTTTATGCCTTGCTTTAAAAAAAAAGTCATTTTATGATGGAATCACTTTCATCAATTATAGTACAATAATGAAGCAGATATCTTTATGTAGTTATTAGTGCCAGAGCAAACTTCATTCCTATGGTGTTAATCACTGATGTCTACTATATGTTTTTATTCATAGAAAATGGAATTCATTTCAAGTCGAGGATCTGGCAAATAATATACTCTGTTGCTGTGACTGGTAGGACCATGATACTAATGTAGATACCATACAGATACAAAGTCAGTAGGATTGATTTCTTTTCCTTTAGGACAAACGTTTTCAGGGTAAACACTGTCTAATGTGTTGTTTTCATACTAAAGTAACTGGATTTTCCTCAGAGTTTGATATAACAACGTTTTATTCCCTATGTTGATGAAAGATGGTGAGAATCCATCAAATCTTATTTAAAAACGTGTGGCATCTTATAGAACTCAGTTTTTGATGTTTTATTTGTGAAATCATCTCTTTTCTAAGATAAGTTGAATTTCTTGACATCAGCTTTTACTTTCTACTTCAGTGTTCTTTTCATGCTCTAATAACTGAAAAATATAGCTGGTTATCATAAGAGCCACCACAAAATCAAAACTTTGTTTATATTTAGAATGAATATGTGGCTCAAATGAAGAAGATGCAGCTACAGTCAAAAGAGAGTCCAGAAGCAAGAGGTGAACAGAAGGATAAAGACAGAGGAAAGGTAATACATTAAAATAATATACCTTCTGTTGACAGAGGACTTCTGGAACATTCCTCTTTTACCTTAGTGTTTTAAATAAAATCATCTTATTACAAAGATCTTTTTGATTAACCTATAAGTATTATTTAAAGACTTTTCCTTACAGAGTATTGCTTTAATGTTTAATTCAATTAAATGTGCTGAAAGGCCATCACGGCAAGCTTAAAAGAGACAAATTCCCAAGAAAACCTTAGTGTCGTTAGCAGGTGAAATTATGTTTGGCTAAATGATGCTTTATAGCTGCTTTTTTCCCCCCTTAGTTCCAGAAATGTTCTAAATAAAAGGTAAACAAAATGTGGCCTTTTGCTTCTTTTCTTTGTATATATAATTTTGTACATTTTAACCTTTCACAGAGGAAGTGGAAAGAAAAGATTGCATATCTAAGCAACAGACAAAAAGACTGGCAAGGAATACTTAAATAAATTCTGCTATGTATCTGCCATAATGCAGGCTACTAATCCTGCAGCCTATCTCCATATAAATGATTCTGTTCAAGACCATAGATGTTTTCTCCACTAAAAGCAGTAAAGCTCTTTTAGATGAAATGTCTAAAAACATCTTGTAATAACTTGGAGCATGCTGGCAAGAGTAGTCACTTGTGACTATGTGTGAAACCCCCTCAGCCAGTCGATATTGTAATAAGCAAAAACGGTAGCATCACTCCATTATTCAGAGAAGCCAACAGCGTGCTCGTTCCTTAGGCTGCAGCATTCATTAAGAAAAGCTTACTGGACTGAAAGCTGGAAACAGATGATAACGGGATATGATTTTCATATTTAATGCTTTCCTTGGAAGAGTGTGTGTGCTACAGATTGATAGAAGAACCAACTGCTACTTTACTAAAAGACTTTCAGGTTTGCCCTATAGCTACCGATGGAATCATTCAGCCAAGAAATTAACTTTTTCTCCTTTTACCTGCTTTATATATCTGCTAAGCAGGCTGCCTGGCTGCCAGTAAATGTTATTATGCAGTTAACTGTTTGGTATTTAAGACTCTTATCAGAAAAGAAACAGAGGCCACACTATTTTGTTTTTATAGTAGGAGGAAGGTTTTAGTTTTCCTTTTTTCCATGCATTAGCAGGCATTAAGCTGAGTTTATAGGAAGTTTTAGTTTTCCTTCCCAAAGATTAAAAAGTTAAAAAACAGAATTTAGAGCATTCTTTAAACTGTAAGATACAAAACACCAAGGCCCAGCAACCTTGACCTATATAAAAAAGGCCTTTAATGATAAATGATTTCTGTACCATTAGATGTATGCCAAATGTGGTGTGATGTGATAGACTCCTAAACCATTCAGGCAGTGTTTCTGTTTGACATTGGGTCACAAAATAATTGACGTTTTTAATCTATAAACCAGTTTGTTCTTTCTATGCCATTCCTGATAAATGCATTTTAGTATGGCAGTGTCAATGGTACTTGGGTAAAATGGGAGACTTCTTTTTTTTCTATTTGCACTACTGATTCCTTACCTTACATACAGTTATGTAGTCTCCTTTTAAGTTACGTTGAAAATTAGGGCAAGAGACATATAGCTTACAACCCCTTAAAGATGTTACATATAATAATTAGAAGAGAAGTATTTCACTTTATGCTGAGAAGTGTCATCTCCTTAAAAACTTTGATGATAGACTGTGTGTAAGAATCAATTAGGTAACATTTTGAGAAATTTACATCTTGTCATTTTCAATTTCCTATTGATTTTCCATCAATTAAAAGGTAAATACATTTCAGTAAAATGATGAATTGGTTAATCCTTATTATATACCAATTCTAGAACAATTTCTTAGCATATGAGTTAATTTTTTCCCCCCAGTGGAAATCCACACATCTCTTCTTTAGACAGTCAAATGTATTAGTCTCTGTTCCCAGAGATGTTGGTCTTCAGGGACTGGCCTGAAGCACAGTGTAGTGTCACCGTTGAAGTCAATAAATATGTTCTGAGCAACTGATTTCCGTGAGAAGCCACAGTAGGTCCTACTATGAATTCCAGTGTTTGCCTTCAAGGAGATGCCCTTTCTGAGGCCCAGGGTAGTATGTGATAAATGCTGGTTACATGGGGTAGGCATGTGCTACATGAAGAAAAAAGATGTGCTTTCACTGACATGAGTATCCCAAGGCTTGGTGGAGGAGGTGGCATTTGAACTAGCATGCAGGAATGGGAAGGATGTCAGTCAGGGGGAATATGGTAGACATTCTAAGGTTCAGAGATGTTATGAGTAAAGGAGCAGAAGCAAGAAAGCCTAGTGGGTAGTTATTCAGCCTGGTTAAAGTCTGATATTCTTATAGGGAAGTGGTAGACAATGAGTTTGGAAAGTTACATCATAGAACTTCTTAGTACCAGGTGAAGAATTGAGATTTCCTCCTGGAACCCATGTGTGCATGTATCTATGAATACATGTGTGTGTGTCCATGTGTGTTGGGGCAGGTGAAGGCAGGGCTTGTGGACAGAGCAGTGACATCACAGGTGTGCAGCTGCAGGAAGATGAGGCTGGTAGTGCTGTGAAGGATGAACTGAGGGAAGGAGTTGATAGAACTGAAGAAATCAAAGTTGGTTCAGACAGGAAGAATTAAGAGCCTAAATTGGGTGTTACCATTGAAGTGGAAAACACTAAGGAGGGGGAAAGGGTTTATCCAATTAGTGATACTTCTGAATTATAAAAGGTAGGATGTCTTTTTTTTTTTTTTTAAAGATTTTATCCATCCATTCATGAGAGAGACAGAGAGAGAGGCAGGCTCCGTGCAGAGAGCCCGATGTGAGAGTCAATCCTGGGTCTCCAGGATCACGCCCTGGGCGGAAGGCAGACGCCCAACTGCTGAGTCACCCAGGCATCCCAAAAGATAGGTCTTTTAAGTGGTTGTGTACTTTTTAACTATAGCAGGAACTTGGATATCTACTAAGAAAAATCATGAGGTAGTAGTTGTCCATCTTCTTAATGTAAAACTCTAGTTTGGTTTCATAATAGGACATCCAGAGCTTTCATACATCCAATGGCTACTCTTCAGAGTCATGTGTTCTTTTACAAGAATAAATAATTGGTCTACTCATTCCCCAAGTTTGTTTCCACTATTAGTTTACTTAGTAGACTTTTGTTTTTTGGTTAATAGCAAAAAGACAAAGTTGGAGCCCCCCGCCCTCGAATCCTCACAAATTTTACTATAATTTAATAATACTTTCCCTCTATTATATATTGCATTTTTTGTCTTGGGAGTAAACTCTAATTCTGTTAGTCTTTAGGTATGTTCTAGTGCTCAATTTTTCATATGAGCAATGACTAAAGAATATACATAAAAACACATCAAATCCTATGTACCCAAAAGAGATGCAGATGATATTTGTGAATGAGAGTATAAATTTGGGGGTAGAAATTGTGAAGTTTCTTTGAACTGTTGTACTGTGAAACATATTCTACTAAAAGTAGAACTAAACTAGAGACTTTACAGCGGGATTATATGGGACTAGGCTTGGCTGGAGGTCATAGGACTAAAGGCTAACTGGGGAGTTCACTTTGCTGTATAAACCTTCCTGCAAGGGTTACATGGAGAATGGTTATGCAGGTTGATACTTCCACTTCTGATACGAATAGTAACAATGGCTAATGATAATTGCACACTTACTCTGTGCCAGGTGCTACATTAAGCACTTTATATTCATCAACTCATCTAATATATTCAACAATCCTGGAAGTAAATACTGTTGTTATCCTCATTTCATGGCAGGGCTCAGAGGGGTTGATTAACTTGCCCAAAACTACACAGGGAAGCAGAGCCAAAACTCAAATCCAAACCATTTTTACTTTGGCATCTGTGCTGTTAGCCATCTTGCTTCCCTGCCACTTAGGGCGGTATGGGTGAAATGTTCTTTATAAGTCGGGAGAAATTCCTGATCCAATAAAAACAGCCTGGCCACATCATGCAAAATATTTCAATTACCCATTTAGATGTTGCATTTGTCCCCAACCTTGGGAGAGAGTGAAATGGTTTCAGTATTCCAGCTATGTCAGATGAGCCAAGGAAAGCAGAGTGCCTGTCTCTGAACTGCTCATGTTTCTAATAGAAGGAGCATCTGCTTGAGTAGGCTTGGTGGGGCAGAAGAAATACCTGAAAGCCATACTGAAGAACTTCTAAGCGAAAAGACAGATGCGCACCTGGTGCTGTGGTGGAGCCCTGACAGGAGAGGTGGTAGAGTTGTGGTTGGGAGCAGCCCTGATGTAGGGGAGGCACCAGACAAGGAAGACACCCTAATGTTTCATGATGGGAAGGGTTTCACTCCCAGAGGACAGACTGCAGCTCCCAGGAGCAGCCTGACCAAGGCAGGCCATTGTAGGGCCTGGGCTCATCTCCAAGGGCTAAAGTGACCAGTGATATGGAGGGGACACACGATTGAAATAAAAACATCATGGCAAGGGAAAAGGGGTCATAAGACTCTCCTGAAGTATCCATATTTAAAGAGGAAATAGATTGGAATCTCATGGAAGTAGAACCTGAGACAAGATTGGAGTGTAAGTGGTTTATCTGAGAGGTGGTCCCAGGAAGCTCAGATAGAGGAGAGAGGAGAGTGATACGACCAGTAGTGTATGAACCAAGTAGGTTACCATTGTGAACACCTGGATCTCAGTTCCATCGGGAATCCTCGGAAGACTGTGTAGCACACACATCAGTGTCCTCGAACCCAGAGGAGGGGCAGGAGAGGGAGGGGCTTATTCCTTAGCTCCTGTCATTGTCTGGTTGTTGTACCTGGCTCCACTCCAGGCTGCTGCACAGCAGTGAGGGAAGCTCCCAGGCCAGGAGGACACTGTGCGCAGTACTGGGATGGTGAGGTTCCCATGGATATGGGTCTAGCCCTGTCATACCTGCTACTGGAAAGAGCAGTTTGGGGGAAGGGGTAAAGTGGTTGAGTTATTAAAGTTATCTGTATAAGCCCCGGTTTCCTATCCTTACTGGCCCACGGTACTTCATTCAC